CTCCCCCTGCTTGTGTTCCCTCTCTCGCTGTGTCTCTCTCTGTCAAATAAATAAATAAAAATCTTTAAAAAAAAAAGTTTAAATTTGAAAGACCCCCAAACAGTCAACATTCTGAGTTACTGGGGATTAGGAATTCAACATAGGAACTTGGGGGAGGGAGATAATTCATCCTTTTACAATAAATTAGTAAATATTTTAGGTTTTGTGCACCACAATTACTGAACCTTGCCATTGTATCACAAAAGCAGCCTCGGATTAATACATACATGAATGAGCATGGTTACGTTCCAGTAAAACTTTAATTACAAATGTAGACAGAAAGCCAGATTTGGCCTATGTCCATTGTTTGCTGACTCCTGGTCAACACTATGCCAGTACCAGTCTTGTTATTATATTAGAGTAAACCTTGAAAAGCAGGTCAAAGCCTTTTTAAATTGGTCTGTTATTGGGGCGCCTGGGTGGCTCAGTCGTTAAGCGTCTGCCTTCGGCTCAGGTCATGGTCCCAGGGTCCTGGGATCGAACCCCGCATCGGGCTCCCTGCTCCGCGGGAAGCCTGCTTCTCCCTCTCCCACTCCCCCTGCTTGTGTTCCCTCTCTCTCGCTGTGCCTGTCAAATAAATAAAATCTTTAAAATAAATAAATAAATAAAATGGTCTGTTATTTTTATTCCTTTGGTTTTGCATGCACATTTTAAGCTTCAATTACCACATTTCATGTAGAACCCTTTATAATAAATTATGATAGAACTATTAGGGTGTTGTCTTCATATGGTACACACGGTTGCTTCACTATCCAATAACTATCCTCTCTCCTTCCTCTTTGCTGGAAGAACTACGTACGTTTAGGTATTGGTTGGCCATAAGTTTATGGCATTCCCCTTCTAGATTCAGTGAATGAATGTTGAGTTCTCCAATTCATTCCACAAATATTTATTGAATGCCTACTATGAGCTAGCCACTGCATTAGGTACAGGGGATACATCAGTAATTAAAACTAGGATCCTTGGGGGACGCCTGGGTGGTGGTCGGTTGAGCATCCAACTTATGATTTCAGCTCAGGTCATGATCTGAGGGTCGTGAGATTGAGCCCTGGGTCAGGCTCCATGCCCAACGTGGAGTCCACTTGAGATTCCCTTTCCCGCTAATGCTCTAAAATAAATAAATAGATCTTTAAAACAAACAAACTAACTAGGATCCTTGAGGCACCTGGGTGGCTAAGTCGGCTAAGTGTCCAACCCTTGATTTCAGCTCAGGTCATCTCAGGGTGGTGAGATCTAGCCCTGTATCGGGCTCCACATTCTGCAGGGAGTCTGCTTAAGACTATCTCTCTCTCCCTCTGCCTCTCTCCCCTGCTCTAAAATAAATAAATCTTTAAAAAAAAAACAAAACACTAGGATCCTTTGTGAAGCATTTATTTTGGCAAGGGAAGACAGATGATTGAATGCTTGATAGAGAGGTAATGAGTACTATTGCAAAAATGAAAAGAATAGGATAAAGGGGATTAGCAGTACCAGTGGGGTGGCTGCAATTTTAAATAAAACAATGTCTGTTTTCTAGGTCACCTGTAACAAAGTACCACAGCATGCAGGCTTCAACAACAGAAATTTGTCTTACAGTTCTGGAGGCTAGAGGTCCAAAATCGATTTGTTGGTAGGGACTGGTTTCTTCTGAGGGCTGTGAGGGAAGGATGTTACAGGCCTCTGTCCTTAACTTGTAGACCCACCTTCTACTTGTGTCTCCCCACATCATCTTCCCTCTATGTGCATCTCTGTATCCAAATGTTCCCCCCACCCTTTTAAATATAAGTACACTGTTGATACTGGATTATAGCTTGCACTAATGACTTGATTACCTCTATGAAGACCCTTTCTTCAAGTAAGATCACGTTCTGGTAATGGGGGATGGCTTCAACACATGAAATTTGGGAGCACAAAATTCTACCCATAACAGGTAGGGTAGAACTTGTTTGTAAGGTAACACATCCTAAATCTAATCTTTTTCCACAGGGCTGTGTGGTAAGAGAACTTTGTCATTAAAAATATCTAAAGCTAATGGCTGAATTTCTAATGTGTAGAGCAAAAAGCAGTTGGTTTTTCCAGCTCCATGAAGCCACAAATCTATGGACCCCTGCCATCTATCTCCTAAATTGATCTCATTGCTGGGATATCTTGCCAACCTCAACCAACACCTATTTACACACATCCTTTCTTTCAATTCCTGTACAGCCACTAAGACGCTGAGTACATGGTCAGCTTGCAATTTAACAGCAAAGTTAACAAAATAAAAAATTTTCACCTTCTTCCCATCTGACAGGAAAGGCAATTCCACAGACTAATCAGTGTATGCTTAATTCATGGATGAATGTTAAGAAAATACTTTCTGGGGCGCCTGAGTGGCTCAGTCGGTTAAGCATCTGACTCTTGGTTTCAGCTCAGGTCCTGGTCTCAGGGTCGTGGGATCAAACCCTGTGTCAAACCCTGCTTGAGATTCTCTCCCTTTCTCTCTTCCTCCCCTCTGCCCCCGCCCCCCACATGCTCTCTCTCAATAAATAAAATCTTAAAAAAAAAAATGCTTTCTGAATCCCCATGAGCCTCTCACAGTGGTGACTGAGGATACTGGGGCCTTTAAAATTCCTGTGGTTTCCCATTACCCTTAGGATAGTGCCAGGATCCTTAGCCAGATGTGGAGGCAGTAAGCAGTAGTAGAAACACTGCATGTGCTGGAGCCAAAGGGATGTGGGTTTGAACTTCGGCTCCTCCACTTCTTACTGTGCACCGTGGGGCAAGTCACTGTGAACTCAAAACAGAAGTGGTATACACGGATGGCATGAATGTAAAAACTAAATAAGAGAATGCATATAACTTACATGCCACTACTCGTTTTCACAGTAATTTACTTTCTTACCTTCAGATCCTAATTTCCACTTAGTATCTGCGTCATTTTAAGATAGGACACATGATACTATAGAGGGAGACAGAGGACATTATTCAAGGGAGATCTGAATGAATTTGTCTCTGGAGAAAATAAGTAACAATGGTAGTGTGTATTTTTTATATTGGACTGGCTAATTTTGTAAGATCCTCTACAAAGTCCCAGACATTACCTTGCTTGAAATCTGCCACACCCTTGTCTAGTTACTTTTCATATGAAGCTTCACTAGCCATGTATATTGGGGCAAATTACCTAAAATTTCCAAACTCTAGTTTCCTTAAACATAGGGGCGAGAATATGTTCCTCATAGGGTTATATGTAGAAATAATCTATTGTATTGAAGGGCTTAGCAGATTGGCTACCTTGTATTAAGCTGTCTATAAATGAAGATGAATTATAAAATCAGCAAATACTACCACTGTTATTAGCTTTCATTTGGAGCTGCAGATTTTCTCTGATTTCCCAGGAATTCCTGGTTTTCTGAATATTTTCAAAAAATCAATTTTATTGAGGTAAAGCTTACAACAAACTGGATCCACTTCAAGTGTATAGTTTGACAGACAAGTACAGTCATGCAACCACCACCAGTCAAGACACAGATCATCCTCAATGGTTGCCTCGTGTTCCCATCTGCTATCAGTTGCTCTCCCATCCCAAACCACTGGCAACCTCTGAGTTATCTGCTGTCAAATTTCCTTATTAAGGTTCTAGTAGTTTATTTGAATATGAAAACTTTGGAAGAGAAAATATTCCCTTACTGAAGAGACTGTTTTCCTGATCCTAAAAGTAGTATATATTTGTTGAGGAGACTTTGGAATAAATAGAACAGTACAAAAAAGAAAGGAAGAAAGGAGAGAGAGAAAAGAAAGTAGGTTAACTGTTATTAATCTTTTGACAAATTTCCTTAAGAGGTGTTTTTTTTTTTTAAGATTGTATTTATTTATTTGACAGAGAGAGACACAGCGAGAGAGGGAACACAAGCAGGGGGAGTGGGAGAGAGAGAAGCAGGCTTCCCGCGAGCAGGGAGCCCGATGCGGGGCTCAATCCCAGGACCCTGGGATCCTGACCTGAGCCCAAGGCAGACGCTTAACCGACTGAGCCACCCAGGCGCCACTTCCTTAAGGGTTTTGAGAAAGATTCATTTTCACTTATTTACAATTCATTTATTTTTATATATTTGAGTTTACTCCGTATTAACAATTATTTATCATGCTTTCTTCAACACACATGACAGCATCAACATTTTTCTTGTTAACAAACAGCATAATTTTAATGTCTGCATAATATTATACATTTTATACTGCAAATTCTGCACTGTTGTAAGTACTGTTTTAGTGATCATCCACAGACATTTCTCTCTTCCTACATTCCTTAGTGTGTCAGCATTAGTAATATTAGTAGTAACACATATAGTACTTGTGTGCCAGGCACTGTTTTAAATACTTTATACACATTATCTCACTTAATCCACACAACAACCCTCTGAGGTAGATACCGGAAGTACCTCCATTAAACAGTTGGGGAAAATTGAGCCATAGGTTATATCAGAAACTCTAAGAGGCCAAGTTAAGGGGCTACTCTTCCACTCCCATCAAGAATTGCTGTTTATCATGAAAACTCCTTCTAAAAGGAGTGCATTTTATGTATTGGTATATAAGCACCGAGGAGAGCAGTAGTAACTGAGAGACCAGAGATCTAGTTCTGGGTCTAACTTCACTCAAAACGTGAGACCTGCGCCAACTCACCTTATCTCAACTGTATGATGAAGAGTACAAGTTAGGTGGTCTTATGTTCCCTGTGGCTCCCAAGTCTCATGCCACTAGCAATCATTTCTAGATTTTTCCTGTGAGAGAGACATCAAGATCTTTGTCCTCTTGGTCTCAAAAATATTTATCATTCAACCATCAATCATTAAGCATCTAACATATACCTTGTTTGCTGGCAAATGGCAGATAATGGCTAGTCCCTATACACAGGAGATCCATTTACAGAATGAAAGAGAGAATTAAAACAGGTTTTATTGCTAAATCTTTTGGGGGGCATGAACTTATCACAGAATCTGAAGATTAGGCTCCTCTCCCTAGAAGATATTACCTCTGTACAAACAAGATGATCTAAATCGTATACAATATTAAAAGCTGTTTACTGATCCTCGGAAATGAGTCAATACACCCAATATGGGCACCGATTTCCTCAGGCCAAGTGCTGACGGAGGTAAGAGGGAAACATGTGGCTGGGAGGGAAGCAAGAGCCCTGTGAGCTCTTACTCACACTCAGCCAGGTTTAAATTCAATGACACACACCAAGGTGAGGCAACAACAGTAACACCGATCGATCACCACAGCTAGCAATGATAAAGCACTTAATATACATCAGGCACTATTCTAAACTGCTTATGTGTTTACTCACTTAATACCCACCACAGTCCTACAAGGTAAGTAATATCCCTAATTTAAAGAAGCGGAGATCTGTAAGTTAGGCACAGAGAGGTTAGGCAGCATGCCCAAGTTCACTCAGCAAGTTAAGGGCAGAGGTGGAATTTCCACTTGGGTAGTCTAGCTCCAGCTTATGCATTTAACCACTACGTTTCCTTCATAAAGATAAAGGACTACCTTGGAAGGAGGGTGGCTTTGGGCACTGCTGTTTATTTCATGAGCATAGCTGCTCTAAGTATGGCCCAAGTACCTGTTCCCACTCAAATGGGGACCCTCCCTGGTGTGCTCAAATACCTAATCTTCCTCTAGATCCCCATGTCCGAAGAATCACTGTCTCTAAATTCCCAGGAGCCTTTAGCACCCTGTCTCAAAGAGTGCAACTCTAACTATGACCCTAAACAACACAGAATGGGAAAGTCTGCTAGTAGATGGTTCTTGAGTGTCCTTGATGATAGAATGGAGAAGCTGGATATCTTTTTCTTAATATTTAAAAATATCTTCAAATAATTATCAGAGTAACATGGAATAAACTATAAAACTCAATCCCATTACCTAACAAATCATTTCTGGTCATTTATCCATGGGTACTTTTCCAATTCTTGCCCACATGCAAATATATTTAAAATAAGTACCATTACTAGTAAATGTTATTTTTCTACATTACATTATAAGCATTTTCCCTGCTGCTAACCAAAATGTGGCTTAAATCAGACACATAAAACAGAGTAAACACTACTAAATGTCCCAGAAAGACAATTAAGTAAAAAAAAAAAAGGGGGGGCATATTAACTCACTGGAATATTATTTTCCACTTTTGTTACGATAACTGTATCAATTTTTTATTCTTTGCAGTAGCAACTCTTATCTTTTTGAAGAAGGTAACAAAGTTGGATAATCTCTCAACAACTCACCTACTTCTCAGATTTTAGCATTTTAAGGCTTGGTCAAGAATGCTCCGAGGACAACTGCTTTTGTAGGAATTTGTGGAAAGAAAAGCTGATGTATTTGTGTACTAAAATGAAATCTTGGGTTATTTCCCCTTCTAGGACCAGCTCTCTAGTGCACAAAAGGGTAGTAACAAGACTGAAAGCATTTCTGCACAGATTACATCTACACAGCTTCTCCCCAGGAGTTTCCAATGCAAAAGAAAGTTATTGCTCTTTGTACAGAACTCTCCACATTCACTATATTAATAAGTATTTCCTCTAATATGATTGGTCTGGTATCGAATAAGGTTAGGGCTGTTGACAAGCGCTGTCCCACACCGGTTACATGTTGAGAACTGTTCTCCAGTGTGGGCTATTTGATGTACAATCAGTGGAGAGTTCTGGCTGAAGATAATCCCACACTGATTACACTTATAGGTGTTTTCCCCAACATGAACCCTCTGATGCTTAATAAGGTCATTCTTCCGGATGAAGGCTTTTCCACATTGGCAACATTCATATGGCTTCTCTCCAGTATGAATTCTCTGATGCACAATGAGGGCAGAACTCTGGCTGAAGGACTTCCCGCAGTCATGGCATTCATACGGTTTCTCTCCAGTGTGGGTTCTCTGATGGGAGAACAGGTGAGAGCTTCGACTGAAGCATTTTCCACAGTCTTTACACTCAAAGGGCTTCAGTCCGGTGTGAGTTCTGTGGTGCACCACAAGGTGAGATCTCTGGCTGTAAGATTTCCCACACTCGTTACATTCATAGGGCCTTACTCTCACGTGAGTTCTCTGATGCAGAATGAGATGTGTGCTCTGTCTGAAAGACTTCCCACACTCGGGACAGTCATAGGGTTTCTCTCCAGTATGAGTTCTCTGGTGCCTAATCAGCCTGGAGCTGTGGACAAAAGATTTCCCACACTGGCTGCAAGTGTACAGTTTGTCTCCTGTGTGAGTTCTCTGATGGGTGACAAGGTGAGAAAACCAGCTGAAGGACTTTCCACACTCTTTACATTCATAGGGTTCTTCACCAGTGTGAGTCTTCTGATGGCCAACGAGGTGAGAACTCCGGCTGAAAGATTTTCCACATTCTTTACACTCATAGGGTTTTTCTCCAGTATGAATAAGCCGATGCCTGGTAAGATTAGAGCGCCAGCTGAAGAATTTCCCACACTCCTTACATTCATAGGGTTTCTCCCTATGTATACTCTTTGATATACCAAGGGATGTACCACTAGTAAGAGAGTTAACAGGATCAGGGCATTTGTAGGACTTATCTCCTGGCTGGGTTCTTGCAAACTGAATAAGGTGAATGTTTTGACAGAAGGCTGGACCACATTCACTGCTACTTGCATAGCTTTCCTGATGACCACTAAAAACTAAATTATGTTTTAAATTTTTAGTATGTGAGTCATGTTTATGGAAATACTCTCTCAGTACCAGCTGAGTAGGAAGAAGACAGTTTCCCCCATATTTACGATTTTCACAGACTCTCTCCTGAGTAAGTACTCTCTTCTGGGTGAATGCCACTTGCCTCAAATGTCTCTCCTGGTTTTCCTGATACTTGTCCAACTGGTCTTCACATTTCCAGACTTCTTCTAATGACAAATACCAGAGATCATTCTTTGCAATTCCTTCCATTTTAATGCCATAGGATTGTTTATTTTTAGAAATGCTCTTACTGGAAATTGATGATTTAATTTCAACTGCAGTCTCCAAATCTGAAAAAAAAAGAAAAAAAAAAAAGAGAGAGAGAAACTTTTGTGTAAGTAAAAAAAAAAACATATTAAGGCCTGAATGGTGGGATGTGGAAACAAGTATGTAGGCTGTATAGAGCTGCTTGTATGGCTGCCTTCATGGACAGTGAGAAAGGGCAGAGAAGAACAGCAAACAGGAAAGGTGCTGGGCTGTGCAGTAGGTAAGAGGAGCAATGAGGGCAAGAAGACACAGGACTGGGTAGGATACATGGGATCGGACAGTCAGTGCTGGGGGCCAATAAGAGAAATCTCAGAGAGGCCTACACTCCCATGATCTAATCTAATGACACAAGAACTTAACATGTCTACTTGTTGCCAGGGCCTTCTCCTGACATGCATTCTTCCCAACTACAGCCAATTTCACATTCCTAAGACATGAGTCCAACTATATGCCAAGACAGTGCCTGTTCTTGACACCACCAAAGCACTACAGAGTAATGCCCAGATAACTGGCACAGGAACCTCTCGGAAAGGCCACGTGACAGGCTGGAAGAGCAACTGGACACAAGTTATCCAGATACAGGTTCTACATCGAAGCTTTAATGCTACTAGTGGTGAATTTAGACTAGTTGTTCAACTTTTCAAATATCACTTTGCTTATCTGTAATCCAAGAGACAACAGTATTTGTGGTGTAAGATTATTGTTAAGTATTGTAAGGTGTGAGCTCGTCACAGACTCTGACACATATATGGTCAAAGCAATACCACAGTAATCATTATTAATATTCTCCTGGTCTTGTATTTTGATTCCTTTGTTCTGAGACACCAAGACTTAACAACTGGGACGCCTGGGTGGCTCAGTCAGTTAAGCATCTGACTTCAGCTCTGGTCATGATCTCAGGGTTCTAGGACCGAGCCCTGCACTGGGCTCCCTGCTCAGCGGGGGACCTGTTTCTCCCTCTGCCCCTCCCCCTACTCATGTTCTCTCTCTCTCTCTGTCCCAAAGAAATAAAATCTTAAAAAAAAAAAAGGGGGGGGGACTTAACTGACAGGACTCAAACCACAGGACACTAACTCACAACCTAGCCCCTAACTCATATTCTCCTGGACTTTTTTGCTCCTTTGCTTATATCTGTGTGTATTACTGCACATTATTTCCCCTGGTTAAAAGCCTGTTTGTCTCTCAATGCCTTTTAGGTAAAATGTTACGGTTTTTTTTTTTCTTAAAGATTTTATTTATTTGACAGAGAGCGAGCACGCACACACACAAGCAGGGGGAGCGAGAGGGAGAGGAAGAAGCAGACTCCCCACAGAGCAGGGGGCCCGATGCAGGACTCAATCCCAGGTCCCTGGGATCATGATCTGAGCTGAAGGCAGACGCTTAACTGACTGAGCCACCCAGGCGCTCAAAATGTTAGGTTCTTAACCTATGGGGGGGAAAAAAAAGCCGTATTTTTAAAAGTGATCTCTATGCCTAACGTGGGGCTTGAACTCACAACCCCGACATCAAGAGCTGCATGCTCTATCGACTGAGCCAGCCAGACATCCCCAAAAAACACTATTTACAAAGTACCGCCTCTCCCTACACAAGTGAGGTAATATTCTATTCTTACCTGGTGTATGGGTTGAATTGTGTGCCTCACATAAGATACACTGAAGTCCTAACCGCCAATATCTCAGAATGCAACCTTATTTGGAAACAGGATCATTGCAGATGTCATTAAATGAAGTTGTACTGGTACAAACTGGGCCCCCAATCCAAGATGACTGGTATCCTTACAAGAGAAGAGGAGACACAAAGACACACCGGGAAGCCACGTGAAGGTGGTGGCTGACCGAAATGATGTGCTCATAAGCCATGGAACACCTGGGACTACCAGAGCCACGAGAGGCAAGGAAGGATCCTCTCCTAGGGGCTGCAGAGGGCCTATGGCCCTGCTGACACCTTGATCTCAGACTTGTGACCTCTGGAGCTTTAAGAGGGCACACTTATGTCACCCAGTTTGTGGAACTTTATCTCGGCAGCACCAGGAAAGTAATTCACCTGACAATGATCCCCGTGCCAGGCTCCTGACTGCCACCCTCTTTGTGGGAACCCACCATTCCCAATCCTCTTTCACTATTGTGTCAGTCACTAGCTTTTTCCCCCACCCTGATCTCTTTTTCTGTTTTAATTTTAAATGTTTTTCAAAGATTTATTTATTGGGCAGGGGGAGAGGGGCAGATGGAGAGGCAGAGAGAGAATCCCAAGCAGACTCTCTGCTAAGCACAGAGCTGGACACAGGGGTCAATCCCACAACCCTGAGATCATAACTTGAGCCAAAATTGAGAGTTGGATGCTCAACCAACTGAGCCGCCCAGGCGCCCCTTTTTTCTGTCTTAAATTGTGGTAGACTAGGCATAACATAAAATTCACCATCTTTACCATTTTTAAGGGCCACTTCAGGTACTCCATACATTCACATGGTTATGCAGCCATCCCCGTACCTCTTCTCATCTGTAGAACTGAAACTTGGTACCTCTTAAAAAGTAAGGCCCCGTTCTCCCCTCCCACCAGTACCTGCTAAGCACCATTATGCTTTGTCTTTATGATTTTGACAACTTTAAGTAACCTCATGTACAGGAATCATACATTACTTGTTCTTTTGTGTCCGGCTTATTTCACTAAATGATATCCTCAATGTTGATCCATGTTGTAGCAGATGGCAGAATTTCCTTCCTTTTTAAGGCTGAATACCAGCCTATTTGGTGTGTGTGTGTATTTGTGTGCTGCCATCATGATTTCTGACAGGAAATGCACCATCTTTTCCCTCTCCTCCCCTCCACTCAAGGCATCAAAATTGCATGGAAAGTTTTTTCAAACCACAAATGCCAACTGGAAAATTCTAAAATGAACATGTGTGAGGAAGAGTGAGGGCTGGGTACCAAAGCAGAACAACCGTGAGTGGCGTGTTTGAACATATGAATAGGGTGCTTTCCTTCATCAAAATTTTAAAATTTGTCCATGTATTATGTAACATAACACTCAAGTGAATTATACTTAAAACATATAACACCCATTCATCAACTCATCATCTGTATTCTTTTTAGAGATTTTATTTTATTTAAGTAACCTCTACACCCAATGTGGGGCTTGAACCTACAACCCCAAGATTAAGAGTCACACATTCACCAACCGAGCCAGCCAGGTGACCCCCCCATTTGCATTTTTAGATCCACCACTCATTATACTTTCCACATTGATCATGAAGCTCACATGTGTTTAAGCACATGGAGCTTCAGTATTTCTTTTGACAACAAATTCTCAATAAAAATCTAAACTGTTGATCTAGTTAGTTTTAGATAGTCATCAAGAGACATCTAGGAAAGCTTCCTAAATGAATGAACACAGGAATGAAAAAAATAAAGGAAATAATGGAGAAATGAAAGAAAACAAAACAATCTTTCCTCCCAAGGCACCAAAGCAGCTGGCTGATCAAGTTCTTAACGGTGTATTGAAGGACTTGTCTTTGAGGCAGAAAACTGAGGCAGTCACCTATAAGACCAAATGTAAAACAAGTAAAAAATAGTTTATGATATTTAAAAGTACACTTAAAGTGGAAGCTCAGAAAAGGAAGGGACCTGTACTTGACGATGAGTCATAAGAAGTTTCACAGAGGACAACTAAGACTGACAGACTTTATTCACATCACACTCAAAGCTCGAGATGCAGGGAAGCACCAAATACGTGTGGACACTGGGGATCAGACAGAGGCAACACAGGTCCTCACAGCATGACTAGGCCACATTGGAGTCATGTGGAGTCACATGCCTCACCACACACCAAGGAGGTTATGTGCAGTATGACTCAGACAGCAGCACCCAAGATGGCTGGGGAGGAAGATGCCAGAGGACTGCACTTAAAAACACAGGTCAGGGAAAAGACTGCTTCTATAGAATAAAGGAAGAAGAAGAAGAAAAACAACTTTCTATTTTTTTTTTTTTTAGAGATTTTATTTATTTATTTGAGAGACAGACAGACAATGAGGGAGGGAAGGGCAGAGGGAGAAGGAGATGCCCCACTGAGCAGGGAGCCCGATGTGGGGCTCAGTCCCAAGACCCTGAGATCATGACCTGAGCTGAAGTCAGATGCTCTACCGACTGAGCCACCTAAGTGCCCCTTCAACCTTCTATTTCTTAACCTAGAAAGCTGATTTTCAACGCACAGGGAAATTGGGGAAAGGAATGATGTTCGGAATCCACATAATGATTTGCATTTTAGAGATATTAAGATGAAAACAAAATAGGAATAAATTGAGAAAACATGAAATACAGAGCTAGAATAGAGTAAGAAAAAGGTGTTTTGGGAGCAGCAGTTCTGGAGAGAAAGGAGTTCAGCCAGCAGGAACTGGAAAGCCCTCTGCAAACTCAGAAGAGTGGTCGGTTACCGAGCCCACTGCATGGCTTACATATAGCAGGAAAGCCACAGGAAAAGGGAAAGGGAAAAGGCAGGCAAGGAGGAAAGAAAAGATTGTATGACAAATAAGAGAATGGAGACGCTAGAATCAGTGTAAAAATCAGGAAAGCAAGACCAACAGAGCTGAACAAGTATATCAACAGAAAGATAATTTTCATGAAGAACATATCTTTGTTTCCGAATGCAAATGATGTGTGATAAGACTGTAGAGAGACTGGTCATGGGGAAATAGAAGGTAAATAAACTCAGTCTTCTCTCTAGAAATGAGGAGAACTAGGGACCACAATGTCCAGGTATTCCAGCCCGTAACAGCTCATCTGGGTTACTGCCTGCAATGTCTCTTGACTGGTACTCACCTGGATGGGTCTCCCGGTGAATCCCTCTCTCCACCAGCCACGGCTCTTCCCCTTTCTCCAATTGGAGGATCACATCTGGTTTGGGAAGCTGATGCCCTGTGCACAGCAAAAGATAAAGAACTGCACAGGGGTTGGGGAACTCTGGGCTGGACACAAAGAGCATCCCAGATTCAGCCCCAACCCCCAAACCATTCTTAGTCCTGGGGGGACTCTGAAGAGTAGACAAGGGGAGGCTACAGAGGCAGCAAAATATGCATGTTTTTAAAATTCAACAAATCAAAACAAAAAAAATTTTTTTCCGCAAAAACAGAAGTGAGTATAAAACCCTCTTCTATGCCCCCAAAAAATTAGGTCCCTAACCCTAAGCTCACACTCTGATATATGTGCTTCATTCTCCATACCTTTTGATCAATAAAAAACCAAAATCATCGCAGGGGGATATCTCTGAGAACAGAAGTTAGTCTTACCCAAGGAAATCAGGTTCTTATAGTTCTCCAGCATCACATCTTTGTACATGATCTGCTGAGCAGTATCCAGCAGCTTCCACTCCTCCCTGGTGAAGTTCACAAGTATATCCTTGAAGGTCACCAGTGTCTACAACATGGAACAAATCTGTAATAAGCCAGATGTATCTCTCTGCCCTCCCCTTCTTGAGTACTGACAGAAAGAGAGATTAGGCAGACAGCACTGGGGCAGGAAAAGAGGATGGACCAAAATTTATTCCAAAAGTGAGTAGTACTTATTTGGGTTCTGGTCAAGTCCTAAAAGGAATGTCCAAAAAGCAGTTCCATGTTATGCTCTAGGTTTAGAAACTGTCAGAAGAACATTTGTTTGTTTGTTTGTTTTAGGGGGGAGGGGCAGGGGGAGAGAGAATAAGAGAGAATCCTTAAGAAGACTCCCCACTGAGCGCAGAGCCCAACTAGAGGCTCCATCCCAGGACCCTGAGATCACGACCTGAGCCGAAACCAAGAGTCAGCCACCCAAGTGACTGAGCCACCCAGGAGCCCCAAAAGAACTTTTATTTAAATCAAGTTTGTTATGAACAGCTATAGCAAGGAGTATCAGACACCAAAGTTAATCTACACTTATATTCTGTGAAATAAAGAACCTAATTCAAGGCAGAAAAAAACAGTCCTCAGTCCAAGTACAACTTAATGCTTAAGAGACTAACGTCAGGGCGCCTGGGTGTCTCAGTAGATTAAGCGTCCAACTCTTGGTTTTGGCTCAGGTCATGATTTCAAGGTCATGAGATCGAGCCCCGTGCCGGGCTCCACACTCAGTGGGACGTCTGTTTCTCTCCTTTTCCCTCTCCCTCTGTCCTCCGCCCACTCGCACACGCACTCTCTAAAATAAATAAATCTTTAAAAAAAAGAGAGACCAACCTCACCATGTTTTCTGATCTAAAATAGTTATCCAAGACATTTTTGCTAAACACTGAATAGCATTTTTTAAAAATGGAGATTATATTTTAATAGTAACAAAGTAATTTGACAAACAATAGATACAGAAGCAAGGCCTTCTTCATTAGCTACATCAAAAAGAAATGCTGATTACACAAAGAAACACTTACTTGAATGAGGATTTTTCTTCAAAGACCATGAAGGTCAGACAAGGGAATAATGGTTTTTTCAATACTGAAAAAAAGAACTGTCAAGCCATTTCTTTTTTTTTTTTTTTTAAGATTATTTATTTATTTATTTGAGAGAGAGAATGAGATAGAGAGAGAGAGCATGAGAGGGGGAAGGGTCAGAGGGAGAAGCAGACTCCCCGCTGAGCAGGGATCCCGATGTGGGACTCAATCCCAGGACTCCAGGATCATGACCTGAGCCGAAGGCAGTCGCCTAACCAACTGAGCCACCCAGGCGCCCATGTCAAGCCATTTCTATATCCAGTGAAAACGTATTTCAGGAATGATGCAAAATATACTCTAAAATGAAGTAAAAGAATTTGTTACCAGCAAACCTACTCTAAAAGACATATTAAAAGTAGTTATTCAAACAAAAGGGAAATGTTACCAAAGAGAAACTTTAAATCTCAAGAATGAAGGATGAGCAACAAAAACAGTAAATATCTGGGTAAATATAATAGACTAGTTTTCTTAAGTCCTTCAAAATATGTAGCACAGCTGAGAGCAAAAACCACAACACTTTCTGGTGGGATTTTCAATATACCAGAGGTAATACATACAGGATGCTCCAGGGGAAGCTGGACCCACACGGGAACCAGTCTCCCACCCTGGATGCTCCCAGAGGTTCCACCCTCCTCCAAGCTCCTCATGCCTGGGTGGCAACTACCCCTAAGTAAGTACATAACTTGTGCCTGAGCTCCCCATGGAGGCATCACGTAGCCAGCTCCACATCTAGGACAACCAGGAACCAGAGAGACCCTCAAGGCACAACATTCCCAGTTCCCACCTAATTTTTTAGGGAGGAAGTGTGCTGTGGACTTCATTCCCTAGTGTGGATCAAAGCATTTTATCAGAGTGCTTATTATTACCCCACTTGACTCCTGCCCACATCACTGTTAAACGTGCATTTCTTTTATATAAAAGGTATATGAATAGTGTATAACATATGAATAAAACTACATCTACAAATAAAGCAAACAAAAGAGTGCTAGTCTCCCAGAGGAGAGTGTCCAAGATATAATTTCTGAAGTTCCTAGGCAAAGGAACTCCAGAACTTAAGCTAAAAGGGATTCTCAGTTGGAAAACAAAGAAGGCAGCCCAACTTACATGGGACCTGGCAGTTAGTGACTTGGCTTCCATGCCCTCCTTGTTTTTGATGATGCTTTTTTGAGTAATGGAGATCCTGAGAAGAGGAAGCTGGAGAAAAGAAAGAAACATGAAGAAAGTCTGCTGTGACAGGAAGGCTTCATAAATCATCAACCTAGACTCCCTCACACCCAGCTGGGTATAATGCAAACACCCACCACACAAAGAAGAACATCAGAGATAGTCCAAAAATATATCTACACTGTCTGAAATTCCCAGGAGTATGAAGAACTATGTAAACTGCCATTTTCTCCTTAGTCTCTGGGGTTCCATGCAAAATTTCATTTTTAATTTAATGGTTTGGCTGCTACAAATCCTCTTTTTTGAGAAAAACAAACCAAGACACAAAACCTGCCTTGATCTAACACCCTTACTTTACAGATAAGGAAAAAGTGTTTTCTCCAGCTGATCAGAGAAGGGAAGTCAGAGATTAGAAGCACAAGAAACACGTGATGTGCCGTTACTGGCCTGCAGGTGGATGGTGTCACATGGCAAGGAATGGGGGCAGTCTCTGGGAGCTAAGAGCAACACCCAGCTGACAGCCAGTCCTATCATAGTCCCACAGCCACAAGTAACTGAATTCTGCCAACAATCAGAGCCTCCAAATGAGAACCCAGGCCAGCTAACACCTTGAAAGCAGCTGTTGGATATCTGAGCAGAAAACCCAGCCAGAGAGGGTCAGACTTCCACCTACAGAACTGTGAGCCAGTAAGTGGGTGCTTTTGAAGCTACTAAGTTTGTGATAGTTTGTTAACAGCAATAGGGAACCAATACATGATCAATTATCTGTTAAAGATACTTAAATAATAAAGAAAAATATCATATATTTACCTACGTAGTTACCATTGCCACTGCTTTTCATCCTTTCCTGTAGATCCAGATTTCCACTTGGTTTCATTTCCTTTCTCCCTGAAGGCCATCGCTTAACATTTCCTGCAATGTGGGTCTGCTGGTAATGAATTCTTTCAGCTTTTTAAGTCTGACAATGTCTTCATTTTGCCTTTTTTTTCTAAACGGCTTTACTAAGATATAATTCACATACCATACAATTCATCCACTCAAAGTATACAATCCAATGGTTTTGGCAATTACATTATCAGTCTTTAAAATTGTAGTAAAAAAATTAACAAAATTTGCTATCTTAATTATTGTTACGTGTACAATTCAGTGGCATTAATTACATTCACAATATTGTACAACCATCACTAATAATTCCAAAACTTTCTCATCACCCCAACGGAAACTCTGAAACATTAACCAAACTCCCTATTCCTGCATCCCCTCAGACTCCAATAACCTCTAATCTCCTTTGTCTCTCTGAATTTGCCAATTCTAGAAAATTCATATAAATGGAATCATACAGTATTTGTCCTTTTGTGTCTAGCTTACGTGACTCCACATCATGTCTTCAAGGTTCATCCATGCTGTAGCATGAATCAGAACTTCATTCCTTCTAACAGCCAAGTAATATTCCATTGTAGGGAGAGACCACATTCTGTTTGTCCCTTCATCTGCTCATGGACCCCTGGGTTGTTTCCATCTATTGGCTCTTGTGCACAGTGCTGCTGTGAACACTGTCATACAAGTATGTGCTCGTGTCCCTGCTTTCAATTCCTTCCGGTCTCTCCCTAGAAGTGGAAGTGCTGGGTCATATGGTAATTGCATGTTTAGCTTTTTGAGGACCCACAAAACTGTTTTCCACAGTGGCAGCATCACTGTGAGTTGTGATGCTGAGTTCCAATTTCCCCACATGCTTGCCAAAACTTGTTATTCCATTTTTTAAATTATTATAGCCATCCTAGTTGGTGTGAAGTGGTATTTCATTGTATTTTGATTTGCATTATTTTCATGTATTTAGTATTTGTATATCCTCCTTGGAGAAATGTCTGTTCAAGTCCTTTGCCCATTTTTAAATTGGATAGTTTGTGTTTCTGTTATTGAGCTGTAGTTCTTTACATATTCTACATATAAGCAGATACATATTTATATACCCTATAAATATTAAATCCTTATCAGATACATAATTTCCAAATATTTTCTCCCATTCTGTTGATTGTCTTGTCTTTGTTGTTGAAAAATACTTTTGCTGAATTTAGAATTCTAAGTAGAGTTAATTTTCCTTTCAGTGCTTTACATAAATAGTTCCACTCCCAATGTTCCAGGAATTACGAGAGTTTTCCAGTCTGGCTAGTGGTAACAGGCAGTATTCCCCATGCAAATATCAGGACTATTCCCTCCAACCCTTTAGAGGATTCTTTCCCTGGCCTTGTGGAGTTTCCTCACACACACGTGCTGCTCTGTGCTCTTGAGTACTCGTGGGAGACCCTCTGCAGACCTGTCCTCTCTGGTGATCTGTCCTATGAACTCCAGCTGCTTTGCTCTCCCCAGATTCTCAGCTCCATCCTTGACTCAGGAAGTCTGCTGGGCTCCACCTCAGGTTCTCCTTCCTCTGCTGTAAACTGGAAACCCTCTCAAGGCAATAAACTGGGACAATCAGAAGTCTTACCTCGTTGATTTTCCATCTCCCAGGGATGACTGTCCTTTGTCATCTGATATCCAGGGTCTTAGAACGATTGTTTCATGTATTTTGTCTGTCTTTGTTGTTGTTGTTGCCGTTGTCCCTGTTATTCCATGTTGGCCAGAAACAGAAGTCTATAAACATTGCGTTTTTAAGTTGTTTTAAACTTAGATTGTATTTTTAATTTCCACCTTTTGAATACTGGGCTTGAATATTTCCCATGTTTGTATTTACAGTTCTTTTGAATCTGTTTTCTTTCCTATTGTTTTCCCCCTTTGTCTTCTGGAGATCTTACGGATTTCCATCTCAGTTCTATGCAAATTTACATGCATAAAAGCAGTATGGCTTCTGCCCTGCTACACCACTAAAAACCGTTCTCACCAATGACATCTATTACAGAGGACACTGTTGGCCTTTTGATTGTTCTTGAAGCTCTTTATTTACTTTGCTTCCTTCCTCACCTAGCTTCCCTCTGTGTATCTTGGTTCTCAGTCTTCTCTAATGATTCGCTGCATCTCTCGGTCTCCACTTTCAATGCCCCCCTGGGCACTTCCAGGACACACAATGTACCTACTTGTTTTATCCCCACTGTCTATCCCACTGCCAGGCACACAACAGAACTGTGTTTTGGCTACATGAATAGACCACTCTGTCTTCTATCCCGACCTTGCTCCTCAACCTCAACTGCATATTTCCAACTGTGGCTAATAGCATGGATTCTGCAGCCAGACTGCCCAGGTTCAAGTCCCTGCTCCAATACTTACTAGGAGGTTTCTTAACCTTTCCTGGAACTTACTTTTCTTTTCTTTTTTAAAGATTTTATTTATTTATTTGACAGAGAGAGACACAGCGAGAGGGTGAACACAAGAAGGGGGAGTGGGAGAGGGAGAAGCAGGCTCCCTGAAGCAGGGTCCCCGCTGAGTAGGGAGCCCGATGCGGGGCTCGATCCCAGGACTCTGGGATCATGACCTGAGCCGAAAGCAGACAATTAACGACTGAGCCACCCAGGCGCTCCTGGAACTTATTTTTTTTTTTTTTTAAAGATTTTATTTATTTATTTGAGACAGAGAGAATGAGAGAGACAGAGAGCACATGAGAGGGAGGAGGGTCAGAGGGAGAAGCAGGCTTCCCGCCGAGCAGGGAGCCCGATGCGGGACTCGATCCAGGGACTCCAGGATCATGACCTGAGCCAAAGGCAGTCGCTTAACCAACTGAGCCACCCAGGTGCCCCTGGAACTTACTTTTCAATGTCACATGAATAAAGGCTGAAATAACCAGGGATGTTAAACTGTGTAAGAAATTACTTTATAGAAGCAAGAGAATGGTTTTCACATATTTACAGGTCCTGTGGAACAGGGATATTTATTTTGAGTTGCTCCAGAGGGCAGAATTAGGAGTAATGTGTGCAGTCACAAAGAAATCAATTACAAGTCAATATTATAACCATATGACACCTGGAAATAGATCAGGTTGCCTAAGAAAGCAGGAAATTCTGGCCACCAATAAATTTTCAATCAGATCTTATTAAAAAAACTACAGTACAGCCTCTACTTTACATAGGTATCTAAGGTCCATTCCATTAACTCTCCCATTTTAGGATTATATAAAATACAAAAAGCCTGCAATTAGTCTCATGTCATCCTAATTTCCCTTAACCTCCAGTTCTGATAACTTACTCAAACCTTTCCCTAAACCAGTGGTTTTCAGCCCTAACTGAATGCTGGAAATGCCAAGTATATTCATAAATTATGACACCTAGATCCCATGCCATCCTTCTCTGAGAGATTCTGACTTAATTGTATGGTGAGGGGCCAAGCTTTTGTTTCTTTTAAATAGTTCCCTGGGTGACTCAACTGTGAAGCCAAGTTTGAGAATCACTGATCTAAGCCATTATTTAATCTATGCAACTATTCAAATCTATTTGATCAATTAATTAAATCCTACCACTTCTTAGGGATAATCAGATTATTTTAAGATTTTTATTTTTTTAAAGATTTTATTTATTTATTTGACAGACAGAAACAGCAAGAGAGGGAACACAAGCAGGGGGAGTGGGAGAGGGAGAAGCAGGCTTCCTGCTGAGCAGGGAGCCCGATGCAGGACTCGATCCCAGGACCCTGGGATCATGACCTGAGCCGAAGGCAGACGCTTAACGATGCTGAAGAGACACTTAATCTTGGGGAGCCACCCAGGCGCCCCAAGATTTTATTTATTTTAGAGAGAAAGCACGCACGCATGCACGAGCAGGAGAGGAGCAGAGGAAGAGGGAGATAATCTCCAGCCGACTCCACGCACTGCACAGAGCCCGACGTGGAGCTCTATCCCAAGACCCTGAGATCATGACCTAAGCTGAAACCAAGAGTCAGATGCTTAACTGACTGAGCCACCCAGGCACCCTGGAATAATCAGATTCTTTTATCACTGATATCTTTCTGTGCAACTGGCCAAAACTGATTTCTCTAAAGTAACAATTGTCACTGCCATGTGGGGATACTGGGATGAGTTTTGTGTTTAGGGAAACAGCTGGTAAGTTGATTACTATCTTGATGTTATATATTTGGATCTTCCGTCATTTTAATAAATAATTAGTGGACACTTACTATGCGCCTGGCTCTGTACAAGACCCAGGAGATAAAAACATGAATACAGTATTTATTCCTGACAGCAAGCAGCTGAATCTAGCTGAAGACACTGAAAATGGACACCTACAGTCCACTATGATTACTGCTCTGACAACAGCATGCATGCCCAAGGGGTCATGGAGCACAGAAAATAGCACCCAGCACCACCTGGTGATTTCAAGGCTGGGTCCTAGAGCTAATTAGGCAGACAAAGAAGGGTGGGGACCTGTGTAAACAAAGGCAGAGCCTAAGACAATGATGTATGGGGAAGGGAGCTCACTGCAGCTGGTGCATACTTGTGAAGGGCAGGGAACAGCCAGAAGGGAGCCCAGAGACGCACATGACCAGACCTAGGTCACAAAAGGACAAAAAGCCATTTTCAGACTCTGTCCTACATGTTATAAGCCCAGATATGATACTAAATTTGCACCTTAAAAATGCTTCCTCTGCATTTGGGGCGGTTGTGTAATGTACTGATGGAAGATATAACAGTAGCAAACGAACAAGGAAGGAGGCTAAAACCATAATCCAAAGGATGGGAACACAAATTAGGACTAAGGGTAGAAATGCAGAGCAGGTAGACTTTGGAAAGATTGGTATATCCTGAAAATCAAATGGATACGGATGTGAAGAGGGGTTGGGGTTAAAGATGACTCCCAGTTTCCTGGGTGACCGATATGACAACAATGTATCAGCAGGAGTAGGCACTAGAGAAATGATGGTACTGGGCTGTTTTTTGTTTTCTTTTAAAGAAAGGCAGACTGCCACATGCAGCGCCTCATTTGGATGTGTCTGGAGTCTTGGAAACTTGTTCTCCTACAAATGGACCTTGAGAGCCTGTTTGGAAGTTCTAGCAGGGAGTGCAGCTTCTTGTATACCCTTGACCAAAGAATGGTCCTCCTCTATTGGGGAAGGTTGTCCTCTTTTTTTTTTATATTAATGTTTTTTTTATTAAATGTTTTATTTATTTATTCATGAGAGTCAGAGAGAGAGAGAGAGAGGCAGAGGCAGAGGGAGAAGCAGGCTCCCCGCCTAGCAGGGAGCCCGATGCAGGACTCGATCCCAGGACCCTGGGATCATGACCTGAGCCGAAGGCAGACGCTTAACCATCTGAGCCACCCAGGCGCCCCGAAGGTTGTCCTCTTTGATTGAACCTGCAACTTCGGGAGGGATGCACATGGAGCAGTGAAGGAGGAAGGGGACACCCACCTACCTGGCCAGATCAGCTAAACCAACCTTGGTGATCAATGGGGTGACAGATGTTGCAGCCAGATCGTCCTCACATCCTGATGGGGTTGGTTTTAAACTCAGAAAGTGGGGCAGAGAAATGACATTTAGGAGACATATGTAGATGTGAGGGTTATCCAGCTGTATCATCTGCCTTCGACATTTCTGTTCTATCTTTATCTATCCAAACTACTCAGCTATATTCTCCAACAAGATTTTGGGGGTAGGGGATGGTCTTTTGTCACAGATTTGAGAGTGACTATGTTCTTCCACTATGAGATAAAGGTGAAGTAGGCAGGTGGACAAGAGTCTAAGTGAGATCATATATTCCTATCAACAACCCTATGACATAATAATTCTTATAAAGCCCACTAAGAAACAGTAAGATTTCATAAAGTTAGTTAATGGTATTATCAGATGACACCATGGCAGTATATAAAGTCAACCAAAGATAATGTGAAGAGTACAATGAAGTGTAAGACCAGGATTAGATTATTGGGAAAATCAACATTTAGGAAGCGAATAGAAGAGAAAGAAAAGCCCACGAAGGAGGCAAAGAAAGACTCACTAGAGAATGAGAAGATCCGGAAGAGAGGTGTATCAAAAGCCAGAAGAGAGAATTTCAAGGAGGGGAGACTTAAAAGAGTTCGGGTAAGTTAAGGAGCATAATGTACAGGATTGGTTAGATAAGGGTTCACTAGTGATTAGGGGAGACTGGTCTCAATATATCGCTGGCAACAGCAGACAAATTCCACAAAAGGAATGAAAAGTTTGGAGGTGAAAAAAGAAGAGAAAGCGCACACCTGGAAGAGGTGCTGGGGACTGGAGAGTCGTCTGTAGACTGAGAGGAAGGAAGTAACAGACAAGCAGGTTGGAGCCAGAGGAGAGAACAGGGCAAGGGATGGAGTCAGAAGCTCAGATGGAGGCATCAATTGGAGGCTTGTAAGGCAGGAAGCTAGCAACACCAGCTCTCTCTATGCCTTTCTTCTATAGTCACATCTCCCCCTGATGCTCACCTTCTGCCTCCCTATTCCAACTCGGATGGACCTCTGTGATTATACTTGGCCCACCGAACAATCCAGGGTAATCTCCCCATCTTAAGGTCCTTAGTTGAATCACATCTGCAAGGTCCCTTTTGCCATATAGCAATATTAATGTATCCACAGGTTCTGGTTCTTTGGGGGAGTGATTATTCTGCCTACCACCAGGGCACAGATGGGCTGCAAGAAGCTTTCAGTATGAACCATAAGGCTATGAAAGAGACTATCCAGGGCATAAGAGGTTCTGCAGCACGGCTCCAACCAGGTCACTGAGCATACAAGCTTCATAACCATCTACTTTCACGGCCTTGACAACATTTCAAACTTAATTCCTGCTGCACTCGCCCCATGATCTCTGGGCCTCATTTAAATGCCACCTTTTCTGACAAGCCTTCCTGTTGTCCCAGAGAGAATAACTGGTCCCTGGCCAGTAATCACGGAGAACTTTGTACATGATTCTAGCACTTCAACACCCTACTTACTGTCCACCTCCCTTATAAGGAACTACTTGAGAACTGGGATAATCTCATTCAAAACCTAAGAGACTAGCGTAGTGCTTTCAACTTCATATTTGTTCCACTGGCATTTGTCCAACACTTAAGGAGCACCCACAAAAATTACGTGTCTGTTTCCCAAGATGTCTGCCCTCCAGTCTCCATTTGAAGACCCAGTACTGGAGCGCCAGTACCCAGAGATAGGCAAGACCTTGTCAGGGACAGCATTTCACTCAGGTTTATGAAGTGTATGCTTCTTTTTTTTTTTTTTAAGGATGATTTATTTATTCTAGAGAGAACGAAGGAGCAGGGAGAAGGGTAGAGGGGGAAGGAAAGGGAGAGAGAGTCTCAAGCAGACTCCTCTCTCAGTGTGGAGCCTGACTTGGGACCCTGAGTTCATGACCAGAGCCGAAACAATACACAAGAGTCGAATGCTCAACCAACTGAGCCACCCAGGCACCCCTGGAGTA